AAATCCTGTAGGCTTGAGAGACTCTCCTTCAGACATGCTACGTATTTTGATATCATGACTGTGAGCACAAGAAAGAATGGGTTTTGCTGGCTTTTTCACTAGAGCATGTAACTCTTGATCTTTGGGTTATAATTTAAATCCCACAATAGGTGTGGACATTTCTAAAAACAAACAAAAAAAATCTGCAAAGAAGGAAAGAAAGAAAGAGAGAGAGAGAGAAAGAGAGAGAGAGGGAGGGAGGGAGGAAGGGAGGGAGGGACAAAGGGGATTTGAAACCAACTGCTGAAATTAGGAGCAAGGACTCTAATCACTGCAGACAGTGACAAACTAGGGAAAACTCAAGGGACCTAATGCAGCAGAACCACTCCCCTTACCAAGGAAGCCTGCCCACCTCAGGACTGTTACCTTAGAGACAGAGAAATCTTGTTATATACGATCAACTTTTTAAGTATTTTGAGAATTCTGTGTCACAGCCAATTAGATTGTCTTCTGATTCTCCTTGGTGTCTACTCTAAATTTTATGACATCACTTGTTTTTTACTATTTTGTTTTGAGTGCAGCACCTTGGGATAAAAGCGTCATGGAGGATTCCTCTACCTATCTCAACATGATGAGGGAGTTTGGCTTTCTCTCCTGTCTGACATCAAAGCAGAATTTCCAGATCACAGAGCACTGTCAATCATGTGGGAGCAAGATGACTATGGCCCTGCTGAGCCTCGGGTCTTCCTGCTCTCATTGCATTTCCTTCCACCGCTTTCATAATCTCTTTCCATCTCACCATGCATTTATTCTAAAATAATTGATAAGTGTCATAAGTTCCATGATTGGTGGGCTTCAGTCTGCTGGATTTCTGGATACATTTTTCCACACACTATCAAAGCTACTGACATAATAGACTTACCTGTACTTGCCATTCTATTCATTTCCTTGGAACAGGCACTCATCCACAATACATTTTATCTTGCTGTCTACAAACGAGGTTAGGCATTTGGTGAATCCATTCCCTCTAATTTGTATCATATGAGTGATGATGTAATGCATGAGCAATTTCTAGGTCAAGGGTCACTCTGAAGCATTCTTTTCAATGGAATCTAGTCAATAAGTAAGTTTTCTAACATTTCCGAAAGATATCCTATTCAGAGTCATTTTCAGTTAACGACCACATCCTGTGAAAATAATGCTTCGACTTATTGTTCAAAACCTTTTCTAACAGCAGTAGAGCACCAAATTCATCACATCTAAAGCAGTGTTTGGGTTCCATATGCTTAACATCCTTCCCGTTTCGGAGAGAAAGGAAAACCTCATATATTTAGTATTTTCCTGTCACCTAGAAAGGTAACTTTTGTCTTGATCTTTATTTTTGGCTATTTGCGTTCAAGCCACTTTTGAAGTTCCGAGAACCCCCTTTCACTCAGGAAGATGTAATTGAGGGAAATCAAAGACACTTGGTATTGGAATCTTATAATTACTAAAAACTGGTAAATGTTTCTTTTATTGATCAGAATTAAAATTACTACCGATTTTTCTCACCCAGACAAGAGGGCAGCTTGTGTAAATCGCTCTCTTGAACATGTTACTGGAGAGGACAGTGTAAGTAGTAGAGAAGTAGAAAAAGGTAAAGTGAGAAAATACCAATATTACCATATTAGCAAATATGATCCTGTGGAAGATACAGCCCACACTGTTCATTCCAACAGGCTTTCAATTTCTGCCACAGATCAATGTCTCTTGTCTAGTTACTAGAGTGACTACTTTTATTTGAGACACACAGGCACAGCAAGGAGGATTAAGGGGAGCCCTCACGAGCTCTTCCATTCACCTTAACCCATTCCTCATGGGACAGGACTCCCTAAATTCCTTGCTGCTTCTTTTTTGAAATTACTTTTTATTTTTATTTTTTATTAATTGTTTTTATTAACATATAATGTATTATTTGCCCCAGGATACAGGTTTGTGAATCGTCAGGCTTACACACTTCACAGCACTCACCATATCACATATGCTCCCCAATGTCCATAACCCAACCACCCTTTCCATATGTTCCCTCCTGCCAGTAACCCTCAGTTTGTTTTGTAAGACTGAGAGTCTCTTATGGTTTGTCTCCCTCCCAATCCCATCTTTTTTCTTTTTTTCTTCCCTACCCCCCAAACCCCCCATCTGCCTCTCAAATTCCTCATACCAGGAAGATCATATATGATAATTGTCTTTCTCTGACTTATTTCACTCAGCATAATACCCTCTAGTTCCATTCACATTGTTGCAAGTGGCAAGATTTCATTTCTTTTGAGGCTGCATAGTATTCCATATATATATACCACATCTTCTTTATGCATTCATTTGTTGATGGACATCTAGGTTCTTTTCATAGTTTGGCTGTTGTGGACATTGATGTTATAAACATTCAGGTGCACATGACCCTTCAGATCACTATATTTGTATCATTAGGTTAAATACCCAGTAGTGTGATTGCTGGGTCATAGGGTAGCTCTATTTTCAACTTTTTGAGGAACCTCCGTGCTGTTTTCCAGAGTGGCTGCAAGAGCTTGCATTCCCACCAACAGTGTAAGAGGGTTCCTCTTGCTCTGAATCCTCTCCAACATCTGTCGTTTCCTGACTTGTTAATTTTAGCCATTCTGACTGGTGTGAGGTGGTATCTCACTGTGGTTTTGATTTGTATTTCCATGATGCTGAGTGATGTGGAGCACTTTTTCATGTGTTGTTGGCCATCTGGATGTCTTCTTTGCAGAAATGTCTGGTCATGTCCTCTGCCCATTTCTTGATTGGATTATTTGTCCTTTGGGTGTTGAGTTTGATAAGTTCTTTATAGATTTTGGATATTAGCCCTTTATCTGATACGTCATTTGTGAATATCTTCTCCCATTCTGTCAGCTGTCTTTGGTTTTGTTGACTGTTTCCTTTGCTGTGCAAAAGCTTTTGATCTTGATGAAATCCCAATAGTTCATTTTTGCCCTTGCTTGCCTTGTCTTTGGCAATGTTTCTAGGAAGAAGTTGCTGTGGCTGAGGTGGAAGAGGTCACTGCCTGTGTTCTCCTCAAGAATTTTGATGGATTCCTGTCCCACATTGAGGTCTTTCCTCCATTTTGAGTCTTCTTCTGCCCCTCTATCTGTTTCTTCTTCTTCTGGAATCCCAATTATTCTAATATTGTTTCATCTTATGGTATCACTTATCTCTTCAATTCTCCCCTCGTTGTCCAGTAGTTGTATGTCTCTCTTTAGCTCAGCTTCTTTATCCTCCATCATTTGGTATTCTATATCCCTAATTCTCTCTTCTTTCTCATTTATCCTAGCAGTAAGAGCCTCCATTTTTTTTATTGCACCTCTTTAATAGCTTTTTTAATTTCAACTTGGTTAGATTTTAGTTCTTTTATTTCTCCAGAAAGGGATTTTATTTCTCCAGAAAGACTTTCTCTAATATCTTCCATGCTTTTTTCGAGCCCAGCTAGCACCTTGAGAATTGTTGTTCTGAACTCTAGTTCTGACATATTACCAATGTCCATACTGATTAGACCCTAGCCATCAGTACTGCCTCTTGTTCTTTTTTTGTGGTGAGTTTTTCCGCCTTGTCATTTTATCCAGATAAGAATATATGAATGAGAGAATAAAATACTAAAAGTGTGGCAAAGACCCCAGAAAAATGTACGCTAACCAAATCAGAAGAGATCCAAAACTGGGGGGGGGGGGCAGAAAGAAGGAAAAAAAAAAAAAAATTAAATATATATATATATATATATATATATATATATATATATATATATATACATATATACATATATATATATATTAGACTGATGAATAGAACAGAGCCACCCCACTTGATTTTGGGTGTATTTTGGTCTCTACCTCCCAAAATTTTAAAGAAAGAAAAACTTATATATATATACAAAATTAAGGGTAAACATGATGAAGGGATGGAGTATGACTGTAAAGATGAAAAAAATTTTAAAAATCTAAAAAAGGAATTGATTGGTTGGAAAAAGAAAAAAAAACAGAGGAGGGAATGTGGTCAGGCTGGAGAATAAAACAAAGCCATGTGCTAGATTAGGGTATATTTTCATCTATTAGAAGAAATTCTATCCCAAAATTTTTTAGGAAAAAACAAACCTACATGTATACAAAAAATAAGGTTAAATACTGTGAAGGGATGAAATATGACTATAACAATGAAGGTTTAAAAAGATTTTTTTAGAAAGGTATTGCTGAGATAAACTAGCTAAAAAACTTAGAAGAGGAAAGAGGAAAAGTTAAAAAAAATAGAAGAAAAAAATAAAATTTAAAAAAATTTAACTTTGCAAGACTAAAGGATCATGGGGAAAAGGCCATGAATTCCATGCATTGCTTTCCCCGAGCTCTGGAATTCTGCTGTTCTCCTTGACCTGTGAGCTTGGTCTAGGCTAGATGTTCTTGCTGATCTTCTTTGGGAGGGGCCTGCTGCTGTGATTCTCAAATGTCTTTGCCCAAGGTGGAATTGCACTGCCCTTGCCAGGGACCAAGCTAAGTAATCTGCTTGGATTCACTCTCAGGACCTTTTGTTCCCTGATCACTTTCTATACCAGTTTGGAGGATGGGAATGAAAATGGCAGCTTCCCAATCTCAGCCCAGAGGAGCAGAGAGCTCAGGGTCCCACTCCTCAGTGTGCCCTCAGAGATAAGTAGTTAATCCCTCCCATCTCCCTGGTCTCTGGACACACTCTGAGCTCACCTAGCCTGTCACCAAGAGTTTCTATCTCTGAGGCATGGCCCTGTTTGGAGTCTTCAGACCCAGCCGATTCCTGCCATGCACTCCCATGCCACTCCTCCCAGGGAAAGAAGGTGAATCTCTCTGGATTTTCCACTTGTGGGGTCCCTACTCAAAGAACAGTGGCCCAACTGTGCCTTGGATCACAGTTTAAGGTAACCCCGATCTAAAACCACTTGCCAGGAGCCGGTCCTACCCCCCATGGTCTATCTTCCAGTTGCTTCAGATTCACTTCTCAGCACATACTACCTTCCAGAAAGTGGTCAATTTTCTGTTCCTAGAATTGCTGCTCTTCTGCTCTTCTATGTCCTGTTGAGTTTGTAGGTATTCGGAATGGTTTGATAACCATCTAGCTGAAATCCTGGGATCTGATGCCATTTCAGTCTGCTACTCCTCCGCCATCTTGCCTCTCACTCTTCCCTGCAGCTTCTGCCACACCAGGCTGGGCAGCTGTCGGGACCTCAACATGTGAAGCCTGACACCAAGCTGAGAGCTGCGCACCAGGTGCCTCCAGCTCCTTCCTGTCACACAGACTCAGAGAACGTCCTGTCAGTTCCCCAGAGAAACTGCCCACTGGGGCAGCCAGGACCCCAGGCAGGAGGTTCGTGTTCGGGCCTGAACCACTGTGGAAGGAGACTGTAGATTTTGTCCACAGTAATAAACTCCCACATCGTCAGCCTCCACCCTGCTGATTCTCAGGGTAAAATCTGTCCCTGACCCGCTGCCACTGAACCTGTCTGGGACCCAGGAATACCGGTTCGAAACCTTATAGATCAGGTCCTGTGGGGACTGGCCTGGCTTCTGCCGGAACCAATACAAATAGGTGTTTCCATTACTATGCAGGAGGCTCTGACTGGCCCTGCAGGAGATGGAGGCTGACTCTCCGGGGGTGATGGGCAGGGACAGTGGGGTCTGTGTTATCACGATTTCCCCACTGGATCCTAGGTAAGGAGAGAAAAGTGCCATGATCAATACAAATATATTTAGATATTTTCATTGTTTCCATTCTGTTACTTTTTTTAGCTAAAATACTGCCTTTTAAAAATTACTGTCATTATTTCAGACTTCAAAAAGGCTCAAATATGCATATTGAGGAATGAACCAGACATTCCTGAAGTAATGAGACTCCTCTGAATATTGCCCACACCATCTCCATCTTCTCGGTCATCTTCTCTGTCCACTTCTCAGTCCCCACTAAAGCACAAGTCCTTGTTCCTTCTGGAATCTTCCTCATTCTCCCAGATCTACACATCTCCTGCCCCACCCTGGAGAATAAGTCACACACCTCTTACAGGCACACAGAATACACTTGGAAAGCAGCTGTGCCCCAGCTTACCCCGCACTCAAACTAGTTTTCTTTCTTCACCCCTCTGTTCTTACCAGGGATCCAAAGCATTAGCAGCCCAAGGAGCTGAGCAGGGAACCTCATTCTGAGAAGCTGAACTGAGGGGTCCTGGTAAGTCAAAGCAAGATTCAAGCTGGCCTTTTATGTCAGACTTGCAAGGGAAGGTGCTCCCTTGGGGACACTATGCAAATCCCCTGCTGGGTGCAGCAGTGCAGAAGGGGCAGGGAGGAGGTGGGAGGGCCTAGCTTTGAGCAAAGTGACATAAAAGGTCTTCTGTGTTTGGGAGAAACCAAATGAAGTCAAGTCCATGCTACCTGCAGCAGTGGGAAGAGCAATCCCCCTGTGAACGTGTGATCTGAGCCAGGACTCGGTGTGTGTTGTTCTTCCACTCTGAGCAAGTGTCAGAGAGCTGATCAGGCGTGTGTGTCCCGGGTCCGTCTCTAGATGGAGAATGCCGTGTTGCTCACATTCTTCCCCCTATTTGAATTGGTTCCAGCAGAAGCCAGGCCAGTCTCCACAGGGCCTGATCTATAAGGTTTCCAACTCTTATTCTGGGGTCCCAGACAGGTACAGAAAGTGGGACCCATCACCGACAAATTCCTGGGGTTTTGTTTAAATACAGTCATTGTGGAGTAGTGTGCTGGGTCAGAAATGCTCTGGGGTGTTGGTTGCCCACACCAGCCTTTATCAAATAAGGAAATAACCTGATTTTATTTCTCGTGTGAGCCTAGTGCGGGTCCTGTTGAATTGAACAGCTCCTGAAAAATGGTACTTACGTCAAATTGCTTTTATCTGCAAGTCATATTTGGAAGCAAATGAAAAAATAGATTGTATCATCTGACAGTAATATGTAAGATTCTTCAAGACTATTTTCCCTGAATATATTCTGGGAAACCCTTAAGAATAACATTTTCACAATGCTGAGAACTTACTTGAGCAGAATTTTGTTGAGCTTTCAATTCTGAACTCTGGGGCAAGAATCCTTGTTGCTGAGAGAGACTGTGGTGTGGGGTGGATTGGAATACATATGTTCTACATTGCACTAGTGACAGTATGCTTTCTTAGTTCTGCTACATTAGTTTAGGTTTTCAGTTTCCTTGGCCTGATCCTTTCTTGGGATTCTAAGGAGACTGACTCTAGGTCTTACTTCTGGCTTCTGATGACATCTATACAAATACGTGTTTCTATTATTAGCAGGTAGCTGTTTGTGTCCAGAGAGTTCCAGCACTTCTAATTAAATATGTCAAGGTAAGATGTCAGAAAATTAAGCAGCAAAAGAAAGAAAGGAAGGAAGGAAGGAAGGAAGGAAGGAAAGAGGAGGGAAGGAAAGAGGGAAGGAAGGAGGAAGGAAAGGAAGAAAAGGAGGAGGGAAGGAAGGAAGGAAGGAGAAAAGAAAGAAAGAGAAAGAGAAAGAAAGAGAAGGAAGGAAGTCAGGGAAGGAAGGAAGGAAGGAAGGAAAGAAGGAAAAGAAAAGAGAAGGAAAGGGAAGAAAGGGAGAAAAAGGGGACTCTACAAATTGTAAAGCTAATTGTGTAAGACTATTTTCAAACGTACTAAGAATTGTTTCTATTCGGTATTATTGGTTGAATTGTGTTCCACAAAAATGATGTTAAGTTTATTCCCTAGTACTTCAGAATGTGACGTTATTTTTAAAAGAGTCATTGGAGAGACATATAGCTAATTTTGATGTGGTCTTATTGTGTTGGGCCTTTCATAAATATGATCTCAGGAAGGGAGAAAGGACACAAATTCCTAATTTTAAAGAAGAATTTCTGTCTCTTACAGATAAACAGAGGATACTGGGGCCTGAAGAACAAAAATGACCAGCAAGCTACCACTGCTCCTGAAATAAGACTTTGTACAGGTTGGAAGAACAAGGAACATGAAGTCCAGCTGAACATCAGCTGCTGGCAATCTCCAACCTTGACCATCATTCAGTGAATGAGGAAGGACTTAGGCAAGTGGTCTCATTGTACTTTGTCTCTATTGTCAGATGATGTTGGTTTGAGCTCCATAAAGCTGGAAGCCACTGTGTGACTGTGTGACTTGTGATTGTCTCCTTGGGTCTGAGTCTGGTATCCTGCAACCCCTTTATGGGGGACAGAAACTGTGCTCTATCCCCCCATTCTGGGCACTGTGTTCTCTAGACTTTGTCAACCCACACAGCCAGGCCCACACTGCTTTGGATGAGATTAGACACATGGAGGACTGCTCACCTCCTGGATCCAAACAGAGGTTCCTCTCTGATTAAAGGAGAATTAGTTCTTGAGTGAGATCAACCGGCCCAGCAGAGAAGCTCCCCCAGCTGCAGGAGGGCTGGAGTGGATTGCAGAGCCCTGAATCACCTATGGCCGAGGCTAGTTGCTTTGGACACATAACTGAGAATGGTCATGCACAAAAGGTGAACCTCATGGACAAGCTTTCTGGTTGCAGGGAGCTCGGGAAAGACTCTATGAACACGTTTACCCTCTGTGTGTGCATGGTCTCTGGAAACACTGGGAGAAACAGGTGTGCTTACCTGCCTGACTGCTCTGGACCTTCAAGGCCACATTCCCCTTCTGCTTCACATGAATCAGCATCCAAATGTCTGACTCACTTTTGTTTCCTTTCTTGGTATAAATATAAATATTGGATACAGATCACACCTGATCCATAAAAATAAGTGGGGAATCATGCTAGATGAAGGTTGACTCTCTGGCAACATGAAACTTTCTGCTGCTTTGAAATCACCCATAGACTAACTAGACAAAGTGACACACAATAATTCCGTTGCCTGAGAAGGAGAGAATCCTGCAAACTCACATTGGGGTGAGGAGACCCAAGTCTCATCCTCTATGTTGTATCTGACTTTTCTTGACCACAATTCTATTTTTGGGAAACTTGGAGGTTAACCATATCTAGGAGAACATGAGGCTGCTTTGATGCTTAGGATATGAAAAGAGACATGAAGACAGGAAGAAAGTAGAATTTGTGACTCTTCCAAATCTTTGGCTTTCTGTAGCCAAGGGCACAGCATGACTAACATGCCTGGGGCATCACTTACTGTGGGTTCCCGTCTTTATGCCTCTGACTCACACAAACACACACAAACATAGAACTTAGAACTCAGATAGGGAACTGGCCCAAAATAAGGGTTGGCATGGATTCCGGATGTCTGATTAATCAAGGGCACGGGAGGAGAAAATTGCAAGATCACCGATTATGAGATCTGGAAAAAAGACTGAGGATGTACAGCAGAAAATAGTCTTTGGAAGTGGAACTCAGAGTTTTGTCAAAATTCAACAGAGCATCACCTCAGATGAGATGCTGAAGAAACAAGCTTATACCTCTGAGCGGATGAGCTGTCCTCAGCCCTTGTCTGAAGTTCTGTGGGATTTGCTCACTATGTTCATGAGGGACACAGCCATGGAGATATGAGTGGAGGCCATGCATATCCAATGGCATGCGCCCACCACCACCATCTCCCCTGGGGTAGACATATTTATTATCTTCTCTGGGTATCTGAGCTCCCACCAGCAGGGACTAATACTAACATCCACTTATTCCTAATTTTGTACATCTCATCAGTTCCCCTGGAGAAGGTGTGATGCATCAAACCTGGGTTTAGGTGTGTTCCAGATACAGTTGAGGCCTCCTGACCCAGTGAGGCTCAGCTGCCGTCACCATCCAAGAATTCACAGAGTTTTAGTTTATCAGTAAAAGCATTGGTCGGGACAAGGACCCTGTTTTGTCATGAAGCTCTATAACAGTAAACTCATGACTATGACATTCATCAGTCCTACGATATATTACATCCCACAAAATAATCTGCTTAGGTATGAAATCCTGGAGCTTTTGGAGACTCTCCTTCAGACATGCTATGTATTTTGATATCATGACCATGAGCACAAGAAGGAAAAGGTTTTGGGGCACCTTTCTGGCTCAATCAGTAGAGTATGTGACTCTTGATCTCGGGGTTATAGCTTAAGTCCCCCAATGGGTGTGGATAGTACTTAAAAACAAAAAAAATCTGTAAATACATAAATACATAAATAAATAAATAGGATTTGAAAGCAACTGCTGAAATTAGGAGCAAGGTCGCTAATCTCTACCCACAGTGACCAGCTGGGGAGAACCTGAGTGACTTGATGCAGCAGAACCACTTCCCTTACCAGGGGAGCCTACCCACCTCAGGACTGTTACCTTAGAGACAGAGAAATCTTGTCATATTCAATCAATCGTATTTTGATATTTCTGTGTACAACCAATTTGATTATCTTCTCATTCTCCTTGGTGTCCTCTCAGTTTTATGACATCATTTTTATTTTTTACTATTTTGTGTTGAGTAAAACATCTTTGGGATAGAAGCATCATGTAGGATTCCACTACTTATCTCAACATGATGAGGGAGTTTGGCTTTCTCTCCTGTCTGACATCAAAGCAGAATTTCCTGATCACAGAGCGCTGTCAATCATGTTGGAGCAAGATGACTATGGCCTTGCTGAGCCTCGGGTCTTCCTGCTCTCATTGCATTTCCTTCTACCGCTTTCATAATCTCTTTCCATCTCATCATACATTTAATTATTAATTATATAAAATAATTATATAGAATAATTGATTAGCATCATAAGTTCCATGATTGGTGGGCTTCAGTCTGCTGGATTTCTGGATACATTTTTCCACACACTATCAAAGCTACTGACATAATAGACTTACCTGTACTTGCCATTCTATTCATTTCCTTGGAACAGGCACTCATCCACAATACATTTAATTTTGTTGCCTACAAACAAAATTGGGCATTTGGTGAATTCATTCCGTCTTATTTGTATCATATGTGTGATGACCTAAGACATGAGTAACGTCCAGGTCAAGTGTCACTCTGAAGCATTCTTTTCAATGGAATCTAGTCAATACGTAAATTCTCTAACATTTCCAAAAGATATCCTATTCAGAGTCATTTTCAGTTAACGAACACATTCTGTGAAAATAATGCTTCTACTTACTGTTCAAAACCTTTTCTAACAGTGGTAGAGCACCAAATTCATCACATCTAAAGCAGTGTTTGGGTTCCATATGCTTAACATCCTCCCCATTTCAGAGAG